TTGTTTTGTCAGCTGGTATATAGTTATGTAATTTGCATTTTTTTAAATTTGTGCTGATTGAAAATTGTAAAGATTTCATCTTAATTGAGATGAAAGGTGATATAGTAGTTATCGGATTAGTTATATATCTTGTTGCTGTGATTCATGAACTACTGTTAATAATGAAAGTGAGGTTTGGAATTCAAGCTTTTTGGTTTTGTTTGCAAATTTGTGGTGACTTTGATTTTAAGATTCATTAGACACTTGAATTGTTCGAGCGCTATTGCTTTTTTTTTTTTCAATTTTGTGTTGACTTTGATTTTCGAATTGTTGACGAGAAACTAACAATATTTTTCTTTATTTTTACATGTCTCTCTTGTGTTTTTTGCAACTTCAATCCTTTTTGTACACATAAAACACCATAAATTGCAATTTGGTGGAGGAAAGTTTATCAATTTTATTCACCTTTTTCCTTGCGGGGTGGGGGAAATTGAGTCACAACTTTGAGAATTAGAATTATATGGGTTCAATTTCAACAAAATTTGTATCTTGGAGCTGTAAATTGATGAGCTATTTTTTAAAACCACGTAAGGATTAGTTCAGTCAACTTTTCTTGTCACTCCACTATAGGTTTTTACCTTATGGCCCACGGTTCAAAGCTTGGTGGATAATGGGCCCACACATCTAACCTTCTTCGGAACTTTACTTAAATAACAAGGTTTTGTCTACACCAGGGTTCGAACCCATGGTGGGGGCCCTACCACACATCACGTGCTGCACTCTTACTACTAGACCAAAACCTTTGGCATTAGTTTAGAACTTTGTTGCAATTGTTTCTTTATGCTTTTCATAGGAACCATATTTTACATTCACTTCTAGAGAAGAACTGTGTTTTTAAATTCTGTCTTGTGAATTGTTCAATTGATGTTGTTGCTATGTTGGTGGAAATTAGGTGAAGGGACCTTCCGGGGAGCAGCTTCATGATTTTCGTGACAAAATAAGTGAGAAGACTGAGTTCGTGGCCCATCACGAAGGAGTTTATCGTTTCTGTTTCACCAACAAGTCACCCTATCATGAAACCATAGACTTTGATCTACATGCTGCCCACTTCTCATACCACGATGAGCACGCAAAAGATGGTTAGCAAGTCACTTTGCTTCATCTTACTTTGTTATTTGGGGGCTCTTTACAAGATATCTTACTTTTTATTATGATACTGCAGAGCATTTCAAACCGTTGTTTGAGCACATTGGACAACTGGAGGAAGCTTTATACAACATTCAGTTTGAGCAGCATTGGCTCGAGGCCCAGACAGACCGACAAGCAATAGGTATTAGCTTTTGCATAGTTATTATATATGACTCTCCCACATTTCAGCAAATCAAAATTTTACCAGTCACTTGCCATTTATCTAGTAGAAACAGTCCTCTTCTCCCTTTAGTGTACACTTCAATGAGATAATTCTCCTCTCCCATTTTCCTCACTTTTTCACGTGATGTTAGTCATAAATCCGGTGAAATGATCGTTATTGCGTCAGTTTCAGTTTGTTAGATCTAAATTTCATTTTTTTTAGTTGATCAATTTTACAAGCTTGAGGATGCATATCTCTCGTCCATCTTGAATATGTGAATGGTCATGACCTTTAGCACATGACCATTTAAGCTCAAAAATCTTGGTAATGCTAAAGAAGTGCGAGATTGTTTTATGCTATGTTGCTCGGACTCTTCAAAAATGTCGACGGGTGCATTTCGGATACTCACGGCTGCGGCAACAACTTTGGAGAGTCCGAGCAACATAGGTTTTATGTACTTCATAGGTTGTGTTCTTTGGATAGGATACTTATATTATATCCGCGACTTAGTTGTTCGAATATTCATTTATATGATCTGTTTCTCTTGGCGTTAGTCGTGGCATCTCAATTTTATACTAATGACAAAAGTCGTGTTCACAAATCTGCACGATTCATGATACTCTGCATGCTCCAAAGCTTGTAGTTCTAATACGTTGATATCGTTTCTATTTTATGCAGTGAATGAAATAATGAGCAAAAGAGCAGTCTACAAAGCTTTACTCGAATCTTCTGCTCTCATTGGCGTTAGCGTTCTACAAGTCTACCTTCTAAAGCATCTTTTCGACCGAAAGCTGGGGCAGTCCAGAGTGTAGCTTTTGACAGAACTGAAGATATTTATACTACTGAATCTTTGAACTTCAAGTGTATTGCCTTACTGTACTGTAAAAACTAGAATGAACGGTTTTCGCCAGAGATTAAGTTGTTATAATTCCTTTAGTTGAATGTTGGAAGCTCAATAATCTCAAATGAAAAATTACAGTTCCTTTTGGAATTTTATTTTGTTTTGTCTCTAATTTGATTTAGTTCTGTTGAAACAACATTGATGTTGACAAACACAGTTTTGAAATAAGCAAAACCAAAAACATTGGCAAACCACAACTGGCAAGTTAATAGAAACAAAAAATTTGACATCAAAAAAAGAAAAAAAGGTTAAGACAAGATCTTAATTATTCAGAGACGTTTCAATCTTAATAAAAACAAATGAGGCCTAAACAAGTAATTTGGGAGAAATCAAACTTTCTGAATAAACAAATCCTTGTAGGAAGTGAGCATATGGGGGAAACAATTCAAATGGTCCTTTGGATGTCCTAAACCCACGAGAAAAACGTTTATTCATGTACATGAATAGCATTTCACCATCCGCAAACATATATTTCGGCATGATATTATAATAGATATCTCTCTCTTGTATAGTAAATAATTCAGTCCAAGATTCCTTGACACCATAATCTTTCATTACCCCTAACTTAAAAGTGCTCCCCTCCACATTTATACAAGTAGAATAAGCATAGAGCATTTCTTCTATTACCGAAACACCACGTGTTATATATTTCATGTTGGAAATATTGCAAATTCCATCTGGCAACGACATCTCTCCATACACCTCATTTGATATATTAAATAATACCATAAAGTACTTATTTAAATTATCCTTACCGATCCAATGAAATGAACCACAAATAAATGCCAAAGAGTCCTCACGACGCATATGAGTGCTAAACTGACGATGCAATACACTACTGCCAAAGACACGAGGATGTTTATCAATTTTTCTCCAAGAACCACTCTTTAGTGCAAGGATTTTATTGCGTGATCTCAAATCATCACCATCACCTTCATCGTTGTCAATCTGAAGAATCTTATAGTCATTACTAACCGAATCATATCCTAATCCGTAAGTGCTATAGAGTGCCTCTTCATGAGTGCCTTCTCGAAGTTCAAGATTAGGAAGTTGTATTGATTCATTTGTGGATGAGTTCCACAGTAAATAGCCATCACCAAAAAGAAGAACCAAACCATCGCAACAACATAATATTACGTATGTTGAAGGGCAACGACTAAGCTTTTGTAATGGTTGAGCCAATGATAAAGAAGAACAATAATATGAAATCGAATCAACTTTTCGGGCAACAAGAATTTTTTTATTATTCTTGGCATGATTGCAATGCTTTGTTTTTAAGTAATCCGAGGTGATCAATGTTTTCCAAGATTTTGAAACACATTTCAATCGAAGAAGAGACTGAACAGGTAACCTGATAAGGATTTCCACAATTATTTCCTCTGGAAAATAGATTTTCATGTCCTACTTATAAAACAATTAAAACAAGTGTTTTATTATTACGTGTGTATGTATATACGTGCAGGTAGGAGCAACATAAATTATTTGCTATAAACAAATAATGAAAGAAAATCAAATTAAAACAAGAAATAACTTTGTGCAATAAAACTCACCCTATCAACATCCATCTGATTTATACATTTTGACGGCTTCATCATAGCTATTTTTATCTCATCAGATATATTTTCTGACGGCTTTCCTGCAATTAAATATTTAAAGTTTTAACCACATCTAGTATGTACTAAGCTTTCATTATGCGCTAGATCCAAAAAAGGGTTAGAACTCCTTCAATAGTCAAACAAGAACTAAATTTTTTAAAAAAAAAATTACTTCACAACTACCTTTAAGATCTGGAAACATCGTCTTCTTTTTTGATGAAGTTCGAATAAAAGAGCAGGTCATAATTGATTTGAAAAGTTTAGCCATTTTTCACAGCTTTAGAACTTAACGTTTTTCACTAATGAACATAGCTACCAACGTCCCTATTTATAATAGACATAATTTGAATTTTACTTTGGAAAATTGTAAACACTTTTTTTAAGGATTTTGCCTTAACATAACATAGTGGAGTTTTATTTTTTTCTAAAAGGAAAGTCAAAGTATTACCATAAAAAATGACAGTATTGAATTTATTTGTTTATTCTTAATTTTTAAAAGGAAATTATCGAGCCATTCGTGCAAGACGTACAGTGTCCTCTTTTTTACTCAACAGCTTCCGTGCAGACGTACAGTGTCCTCTTTTTTACTCAACAGCTTCCGTGCTCTTGCAGTTGAAGTATGATATTGTCAATAATATATTTTTTTAAAATGTCTTTCATATTTGGTTTATTCTCTTCCAAAAAAACAATAACATATTCTTGAACAGTATGTTATAGACACGAGGATGTTTAACATACTCTCGTGTAATTCCACAAGTGGAATGTGGAGAAGATAGAGTGTACACAAATCTTATTTCTACCATGTAAGGTAAAGAGGTTATTTTCGAAAAATTGGCTTGAAGGAAGATCATAAAATTAGACAGAGGTATGTATGCATTTGGACTACAGTTTGGCCTCATGAGATCAATTTTCTGAGACTCTGTCCATTTGCAAAACTCTAGTCTGCATCTTGAGTCATGTCTATTTCACCGAGCCTCTCTCTGAGACCATGTCCATTTTTCACTTAACAAACACATAAATAGGTATATGAAGTATACTTTGGCCGCATCTTCAGTCATATCTATTTCACCGAGCCTCTCACCATATATTTCACTAAGCGTTACACACAAATAGGAATTTCTACTACGCATTTTCTACTTATTAGGAAAAAACGACAGAATCTCATGAAATCAACAGAGAAATTTACTGTTGAAAGGTGCTTTACAAACCACACTATGTGCTCGTCTGCTAAAGGTAAAATAAAAAGATACAACATATAGGTACAACATCAAACATTTTTGTCTTTCACATTTTGTTTCCCCAACAATATAACACAAGTTTACAAGACAAAAGGGGACTTTGAGCAATGCCTCAGTCTCCAGCACCAATCCAAAAGAAGTTGTGGGGTTTCATTATGAATATGCATCCTATATTCAGCTTATACAGAGAACATTGTCAAGATTCTGCATGAGGGCTCTGCATACAGCAAAACCATTTTTTCTGCAAAACGACAAATATATTGGTGAAATTCTAATAAGAATGCTTCAAAGATTAATGAGAGAAGTAGCATATATGAAAAGTATAATCAGATGGGTCACCATTTGTCATTACATTAAAAAGCAGTCACGTGATTGTAGTAAGCTCGCAGCCCGGCTCATCTAGTCATATTAGCAAAGACGAGAGAAAAATCTAGCCTGATGATTCAAAAACTAAAGTTTGACAATGAAGGACAGGACAACTCTTCCTAACCCAAGCCACAATGGAGCTGGTCAACTACTCTTAACTCATACTGAAGGAAAAAAAATGCAGCTGGTCAACTACTTAGATAACCTGACAAGTATTTTCTTTTCCTCAAAACGACTATGTAAAGGAAACACCATTTGAATAATGACATAATTAGTCTTGCTCTCTAACCCTTCAATATTAAGTTATACTAGGTGGCAACTATTAAAGTTCAATACTGCGAGTGTAGAAATCGAAAAGTTGAATATCACTCATTTTTCGGAGACCCTGGTACCATAGCAAGCTTGCGAGCAGGTCGACTCTGCTACAGACCACAAGCATAGGTACCACCAAGGCTAGCAGGTTGGCTCACACTGAAAACTACGATCTCTATGTTGTTAATTCTATGCCTGAACCACTCAACTATCATGTTGGGAACAACCCAGCCATCCCCAAGTAAGAAAAGCTAGGTTCTTCTGCCCAATGTTAAAAAGTAGAGGTATATAATACTAGGGTCCACCCCATAAAAAAATTATATCATGAAAGTACATTTAAAATTGTATTAATCAGAACCAAAAAATGTACAAAAGAAAATTAAATATTGTGTCATAAAAGTTATACTATATCTTCAAACTATGGAGTAAACAATTATTAATTATAGAAGTTAATAGTTTAACACTTGGAATGAAAAGCTAAGTTAATGTCTTACAGTCTTAGTACGTAAAAGATGAACAATCAAAGTTGTGAAGTGTGCGCTTAAAGTTCTAGAGACATACAAGGCGGACAACCAATATGAATAGTATGCACAGGATGAAAGCTACAAATGTCAAGGCGTTATCCCTATAAGACTTCTGCTCTTCATGGTTGCCCTCATTCGTTTAGAAGCCTACGTCACATCTGGAAAATCCTAGAGGATTCCCGATAAACATTGCCTCACATATTTTTTCCTTAGATAGTTGACTAGAAGCGAAGAGTGATTAGAGCAAATAAATTACATGAGTTCCCTAAATGATGGTTTTAATCCTATGCTTATACGGGAAGTTCCAATAGATGATATATGATCTGACCACTGTACAATAAGAATTTACTGATGCTCACAGCCAAAGGGAAGTTCTCAACACAACAAGAATTGCTATCAGCCTAAAATACCTACTACCATGTGTTCTAAACTATAGCTGGTCAAGTTAATGATCGGGATCTTAAAGTAATTATGCTCAAGCTTTTGCATTAGTCTAGCAAATTATTCTTAAATGATGATTATACAGTGTGATGGAAATTTGATTTTGATAAACATGCACATACAATTCACTATATTACAACCAAAATATTCTGAAAATATGAGACAGCAGAAGATAGCTGAAAGTGGCTTAGTTGGTGTAGAGTGGATAATTATATCGTAGATTGGATATTGGCGTCCTTCAACTGTTTTGAGAGGGCCATAGAGTGGGATGGGATATCACCTATTTGATAAATGAATTATCCTCTGAATGGAAAAAAAATCTCTCTGTGAAGATGCAGAATCACACAGCTAATGGCAGTTTAATTATGTGAAGAGCAAAGGGAAGAATTGTTAACATTTAGACCAAAAAGTGTAGAGGGTATAAGTCATTGAATCTACTCATCTAGAAAAATAAGTTAGCAAAATAACTTACAGTTTGAGGTTTTAAAGGTTCTTCTCCTTCCTTTCTATTACCATCAGCCTTTGATGGTGAGTCAGGCTTGCCACCAGTTTTTTTCTCATCCCTAGCCTTGTTGAAAATCACAGTAAATCCCTCTGCAGAAGCTGGATCATTGACATCCCATTCACCAAACTTAGGCAATGGTCGACCCTTTTCCTGCTTGAAGATAGATGTGAAAGCCAAATAGGTAAGGTAAATAATTGGACCAAAAGAAGAATACTTCAGAACAGTATAACTGCCATTAGTCAAGTGAGTAATTTCATGAATGAACCGTGAACAAATACTATAGCAGTCGCAGAGAAAGAAGCTAAATTATCATTATGCCGCTACAATTTTGTTGATACAACGTGCAAGAATACATATCTATGACTCCATCCCATAATCAACAAAGGACGCGAGAAGAAGGCCAAAATTCTCCAAATCTATAATACTACATGAAAATTCGAAGTTGATGCATTAGGAAGCAAGCACAAAGTGATGGACAACTCTGAAATTCCTTTGATCTCACCAAAGGCTCAAAATTTTGCCACTGCAAAAGGATGTGGAGAAGGTACGAACAAATTAAGAACAAAAGAAAAAACACCTGCTTGAAGTCTATATCCAAATTATCAGAACTGCTTATGTTCAATATTATGAAGTCTTCCAGCAACTGGCAAACTACAATATGCATCCACAAAATGTCAATTCTATTCTTCTTAAAATGAATTAGAATTCATATCAAACTGATTCCAGAAATTGTTCCCTGGTATTGCTGGCATGTTACCTCTAAAAAGCTCTTAAACCACTATGATCCAAGTCCTCAATGCCATTAAAAGGGCTATGATAAATCAAGGAAGGTAAATGTACTCAAAAGATCATAACAAAACCATCAGTGTCAACTACCTTTCTAAAACCACTCGACTTAACTCCAACTGGAGATATACACCTTCCCATTAGTTGATGCATGAGCAGATCAAAGCATTAAAAGGAGAACAGACTAGAAATACATGCATTGACACGGCTTATGAAATCCACACAAGAGGAAACAATGCAAACATTAACTTTAATATGTTCAGATTTTCTCTATTTTTTTTCAATGACAAGGGAAACCCGCAGCCGCTACCCTTTGGGTGCGCCAGATTTTCTCTATTGAAACAACAAGCAAATAGTCAACTCAACAAATTCAAACACTGAACATAGAATGCAAAAACTTATCACTACTGGTAGGAAAGAGCCTATCTAATTAGCGCATCCAAGAAATTTTAAACTTGAATATCCCTATATGGCCATAGAAATAGTAAAAATACACTCCAATTTGGAACATCTGTATGCATAGAAGTATACGTTTTAGATATGTAACTGAGCTAAGTACCCCACAACAAGTAGGGGCAGGTAAGGCCTGTGTATATCCTACCCTCCCGAGACCCCACAAGTGGGATTACACTGGGTATGCTGTTGTTGTAACTGAGCTAAGTGTATATTTTACAAAAAGTAGACTCCACCTTAGGGAAAAATGGGGTAATTGCAGTTATGAAGTTAAAACATACTAAGACAGTCATCACATCACATCAAGAACTACCCTTTGAATATAAAACACATGAAAAATAGTTTTAAAAAAACTAAAAGTACTAGTAATAAGGAATCCACCGAAAACCCCAGCTTGCGACAGCAAGGGGTTGACCTCCTAGGTTGAGCTCATCGCACGGGGCTTGCCTAGTGCGATTTACCTATCCTGGTTTACTAGTTATTACATAGAAGCAAGTTTTACCCTGTGAGCACCAAAGGATAGCGGCTGCTGGTTCCTTTGTCATCAAAAAAGGAACCCAACAAAGCTTTATCAAAAAACTAAACAACCTAAAAAAGCAAAAGCAATTTTCCTTTTGCACATAGTTCAATGAAAATAAACAAAACCCAACTGGATAGCAGTGATCCAGGAGGTCACTGGGAGTCCAGCTCATAACATTCCATTCCAATTGCAGTCCACTGGCCCCTTTCTTGTCCCCTTTCGAAAAGGGGTAGGGGCATTTCACAGCTCAACCATCCAAAGTCATACCAAAATGAAAAGCAAAAATTTCAAGAATCAAAATTCAACAAAACCAAGCTCTATACAGGATCTAGCTGAAAGTCAAGATTTTCGATCAAACTCAAACTCAAAAAAAAAACCAGCAAATTCAACAAAAATGAACCCATCAATGAAAAATTGAAAACCCATTAAGCAAAAAACCCCAAAAACAAACAAACCATAATCATCCATTTACTTGATCAACACACATATATCACATCATCAGCTATCAAAAATTGAAAAAAATAAAGGGCAAGTGAAATCGAGTGAACAGAAACAAGTAATCAAGATGATTAAAAAATCAATCTTGGGGAAAAATTACATACCGACATGAATCCAACTATAGAGAATGAGAATTTTCCTCACTGGAACAGAGCGAAAGAGAAAGGAATTTTTGAGAGAGAAAAGTATGAAAATGAAAATTGTGTGTGTAATTTGGTATTAGGTGTATTGAGGTGTATTTTGGGAATAAGGAGCATATATATGGAAATGGGACTACACATTATTATACTCTTTTAAGATAACTAGACATGTTTATGTCAAATCAATTAATCTAAGCTTAGTAATTAAAAATAATAAAAATTAATTAAAATAAAATGAGAAATATTTATCAGAAAAATTTATATAAATAATATACAAATATGTGTGTCTAGAGAAGGTAGAGTACACGTAGACTTAATTCTTATCTTGTGTAGATAGAGAGGATTTTGAACGATGAATGAAGAAAAAGTACGAGAAATAAACATATTGGTCAGTGATTGTGAGAGGCTCCATTTCTTGATTGGATGGGACATCAAAGGCCTTTGTCCTTCCAATTCTTGATAGACATGGAGGGGCGGAGCTTTTGAATTTTTTTTCATGTTGTGTTGAACGATGTTTTTTTGTGTTGTTAAAGTTTGAACAACGAAAATACATAATGGGTACTTGATTTAATTGATCATGTCATGTACGAATAAGGTTCCAATCTAATCGTGAATGGTTAGAATGTCTTAGTTATATACATCATTGTATTTTTAATTGACATTTATCTTATTGAAAAATAATTTGTCTTATTAATGCGACTCAAGAAAAATATAAACACAATATATACAAGAAATAAGAGATAATAATTAGTGATTAATATAACTATCGAGTACGAATAAATTTGTTATTATCTTTATTTTTGTGGACCAACCCCATGTGAATTTGTAAACCAATTTGCATACACACTTGACTAACTAGACATTGGGTCAATTTTTGAGTATAAAACGCAAGACAAGGAATATTCGGACTCCCCACTTTTTTCTAATGTGTACCAATATAAAGTAAATAAGTGAATACAACTTATTTCATATTCAATCATTTAATTACACAATTTATCTTTTAAAAGGATTTTGATTTTAATTTATACCTTTCAAATATGTTAATTTTAAATTTTTGTTCCTAAAAATCAAACTTAAGAATATGAAATATAACTTGAGAAATATTACTATACAAAATTATAAACATATACCTCGTAAAAAAAATTATTTGAGCACAAAATAAGAGCAAAAGTGCAAATGACCCTATATCAAGTTCTCATTGATCTTGAATTGAATATGAAAGTTTAATTGAACAATACATAAGACTTTTGAAGTTTATACCATTATAATTTTAAAAAATAATAAATTCTCCTTACTAACTTTATAAATTGTGATTCAATTGTGACGATGTATAGTTGCGCAAAGCCTGATAACATGAAAAGAAGTATATAGTCATAATTATATGTTCCCTAGAATCTGATTGATAATCCATCTTATAAGCAAAAAGGATTAAGAAAACTAATCATGCTTTTTTCTTTTGGGTTGAGACTTGAGAGTCCTTTTTTTCCAATAGGCCTATAACCTATTCACATTACTCAATTATTAGACCCTACTTGATTTTGTCGTGTTATGAAAGCCAAGATTTGACATCTACATTGATTAGTATAATTTTCTTTAATTGGTAGAACAAAAAAAAAACAGAACAAAACCATTTCTACATATATATTCTGTTTCCAACTACTAAATAAGTTCAATAACATTACTCAACCAACAAATCATGTTTAAATATAATAATGAATGAGAACTTATGTGTCGTACGCCCTTTCTTTTATAGTACTCCCCAAAAAGAATGTCACATTTTTATAGAACACACTAAACTCTCGCAATGGACGAAATCTGAGGAAGGACTACAAACGTATATTATACGTAATCTTATTATGCATTTTTGCAACAAAAAAAAAAGTTTCCACCTTTCCACAATTCGAACCACCTCCTAGGGTCTCCATTGAGGTCTGAGGATAAGTTCGTTTGACATGACAAGTTAATGGCAAATTATCAATAAGGTACTTCTAAGTTTCATTAGCTGATTAAAATGTAGTTGCGACATCGTACAACCAAACCAACAACAAACAAAAAATAATAATGGTAGATTAGAGTAGATGACATGATTAGTATAGGAGAGGATGTTGAATGGATGTATGGTACATACTAAGCAATAAAATCAAAAACTAAACTATCCGAAATAAGATGAAAATGACCTTCGTTGTGGACAAACTAAGCAATAAAATCAAAAACAAACCTATCCGAAATAAGGTGAAATAAGGTGAAAATGACCTTCGTTGTGGACAAGATGGAGCCGAAGTAGAAAAATAGTAGGTAGTCAAGTGTTGGGTGACTCCCTCATCAGTATTCTCCTAAACACCTACTATCTTATTTTTCGGTTTTAGTATTACCTAATTTCATTTATTAGTTGTTGCTAATGTTCTGTTCTTCATTTTTTTTTCAACATGCCATCTTTGCTACTATATTTGCTTTATATACTGACTCGTAAAATGCGAAACACAAGCTGAAGGTCTAGCAAAAACAAGTCGGTTGACATGATTAGTTTAGGCTTATGGAAAGGTACAAGTTGAAGGTCTCACAAATTTCATGATAGACAGTAGCAGTGAGGAAATCTAATCAAATAGAGAGATAGACAATGCCAGGATAAAATACTTAAAAGGGCGACCATGTTCGCCATTTCCAAAAGAAATACCAGATCAAGCATAGCATTTATAAGCTGATGTAAGAGTTGATCTGATGCCAATCGGTAACCATAGGTAACTAATTAAGTTCTAAAGTATGAAAGAATTAGCACCTACCCATTTCCCAAAATAAATGTAGACCTCCTACACTAAACCCCCCGACAAAAAGAGAACGACTTATCTACACGGGGATGATATTAAGGCTGTAGGAGCGTCTTCTGAATCTGTTGCAATGGAAGGAACAACAAAATAACAGAGCTCCTCGCCACTGTGCAAGAAGATCACCACTTGTAATGCATAACTCACTACCCTCAAGATACTAAACTGCCATGTACATGACCAGAGTGGTGTGGCCAACTACCTAGACATCCTTGAGGCAGGCTGTGCATGGACTCAAATTTGTAAGCAATACCTCTCCAAATCTATGTTGTGCAGTTGATGTCGATCAGCCAGTCTGCATGAGACAAAGTGAAGGTCATCAGCATTTTTCTTTGCTGAATTCGAGTTAATTGACCAGTAAATCAACCAAGCAGAAAACCTATTATAAGTCTTAAACTTGATAACTAGAATTGCCCAATTCATGTAAATTAGGCATGCACGACAATGGTTCAGTAATTATATGTTATTACTACTTGAGTGGGGCAGTACAGGACAGGAGAGCAACTAGAACACAACCCAATGAGGGAAATTAGACAATGAGAAAACAGATGGTCAAGGCACACTAGCACCGAAGTTTCAGATGTGAACATGCAAATATTTGAGCACATGTAGAAGCCAAAGTCACATATATTTCCGTCAATCATGTATTAGAAGGCATGCTTATCATAGGACACCCACAGGAATCTGCAGACACCCCACAGAAGTGCAAATCATATGCCATCAAGTAGAGCAAGCTTTAAGCACTCAACAAATAGATAGAACTAATGGTACTCCAACAACCTCATCCAAAGAAGGTGAAGGAAACAAATTCGACAGATCAAAGAACAGAATTCTCATCACTTGACAAAGCAGTGAACAAGTGAGTGGTTTCAGTTACCAACTACAGCCAAACAAGAGAAGAAAAATGAATAGAGGACATACTTACATTTACATGGCAACCACAGGGTGATCAAATATATGCAATTTTCAGGAAAGCTGCACAAGGGAAGCTTGTCTCAACCAAAACCAAATCCTTCACTAGCCTCATGGATAGCCAAAAGCAAACGTTCTTGAAGTTGTTCTTTGGAAGTATACTCCGGAAGGTCGAGTTGGTTGAAGCTGGAAGGAAAAGACAAATGACAGTAAGGGTCACTAAAGCTTTGCTACATACTATCACCCAGATGGCATCTACTTAATTATGAGCAAACTACTGATAAGCATACAATAAGTCTGATATACAAGCACCAACCAGGTATGTGCAGATGGAAGCCTCTCAGGAGCTCCATAAGCTTTGTGAATCTGAAATCTCTGAGGGCCAGAAATCCCTTGCAATGCCTTGAAACCCTCCAAAGGAACCTAAGGCCAACAGCACCCACAATTAATCACAACGAAGAAATCCACAGGGCAGAGACATTTACAGGGGAATGTGCATGCACATACTATGTAAAACAACCAAAGGGCATACAGAATCCTGAACCACCAAACAAAGGGAAAGTAAGGTCTTTTTTTAAATGATTGAACAGTAGATATACTGGGGAAACAAACATCAATCTGCAATCACAAATTACCAGAATTCAGCAAAACACATAGCAGAATTTTGAGCACCTGGATATTTGGTTTGCGAAGAGAAGAGGATCTTTTCTCAAGGAAAACCGACTTTGGTACAAAATTGTTCTTTACTAAGGTGGGGAAGGAGGGAGAAAGGGGTTCTTGTAAGTTTGGTTCCACATCAATAGAAACAAATCATATCGCCATTTAGCAGATTCTATATGTGACAAAAAAAAACTGTGGGTACAATGATATCTACTAACCTTGGATGTGCCAGTCACAAATTGAAGAAATCTTGCCATGTCTTCCTTGCTAAAACCTTTAACGACCTCCCAAAACCACTGAACAGCAGTAGATGCTGTGGTATATCCAGTATATTCAGTGTTGGCCTTCAGATCTTCCACTGCATATAGAATCATTATTAGAAGCTTCATAGGAAACAACATGGTGTATACACAGCAATGGTGGAGAAGCATGTCCACTTACTGTCAATTTCTGGTAGACCACTTATCAAAAGTTCAAGCTCTTTATCATTGAAAATGGAGATAAGTTCACGTGGTACCAATTCACTGAAACCTTCAAGGAATGCATTTATTTGAGGGCGAATAGCATTTGTCAGAATATGGTCAGCAACGAGATCAACATATTCGTGCTTTGTCTCTTCTGCGACCCTTATATTTCTTCCTCCAGGTTTAAGCTCATAATCAGTAACCTTGATCATGCAAGATTAAAAAAAAGTTACTTTAGGTATCACCTGAACA